TTCAGAAGTCTTAAGTAGGGAGCTCTTCAGGCTCTAAGGAGGGAGCAGTTCATAACTGGCACTATTTTTGCTTTATCTTTAGCCTTACTCATAAATACTTATGAGTCATTCATTGGATATATTTTTTTTAAAGATTTATTTATTCATACAGAACTGGGGTACAGGCCAGAGATACGGAGGGTGATAGGATTCACCAGAGATAGAACGGGGAGCAGAACAGGCAGATCGACGAAGTACACTGCTGAGGGGAGCAGCGGGCAGGTCAGGAGAGGTCTGCCACGCCTGATATATATTTTTTAAAGATTTATTTATTTATCCCTATAGAACTGGGGTACAGACCAGCGGGCAATGAAAGCATTCACCAGAGATAGAGTGGGTAGTAGAACAGGCAGATCAATGAAGTACACTGCTGAGGGGAGCAGTGGGCGAGACAGGAGAGGTCTGCTGTGCCATGTGGGTCAGCTCCCTGGCAGGGATCGAACTCATGCTGAAGCAGCTGTTGTCAGCTTGCAGTGCTGTGCCTTAACCTATTGTGCCATCAGGGAGGGCCCTGACAAATTTTTTAATTGAAGCATGTATTAGCATTCATATCAGTAACTGATTTTTCAATTCTTATTATAAACAGCAATGCTTGTCCATGTAAAAGGAACATTTTCCATAAACGTAATAACATATATTTGTAATTATAAATATAATAATGACATAACTCATGCATCTGCGAAACAAAATTTGGTAATATCATTGCTGCTTTCAAATTGCATTAAAGGTAGAAAACAGTTCTGTAGTATTCTATATAAAACTCGGGTATTTTCCACTCAGTATTCAACCCACTAAGAAACACTGAATAGAGAACCTATTTATTTCCTAGCACATTTGAACCTATAAAGAACCATCAGAATGCAGTCACATATGTTCTGTGGATAAACTTGAAAAGCTAATGATCATTTGATTCAGAAAATCAGAATACCAAGATGCTACATTGCTGTTTATAACCCTCACTCAACCTCCCCTAAAAATAGCTTCTCTTCCCTGAATTTCCTTTTGTGAACTGGATTTAAAAAGTAGAATTAAAATTCAACATAAAATATGACAGAGTCTATAACAGAATTGTGGTATGGGATATAAACAAAAACTCCAGTTTTAATAATGAGAGACTTAGAAATTAGTCTGTGTTCTCTAGGTTGCATATGTTAGAGTACATATACTATGTAATATAATTTGATGATACTTCACAACAGAAGTGTTAAACAACATAGCACTATACATTTCATTGGCTTTTCTGTCATTAACCACTTTTGTATCATGTAATACTTAATAGTTTAAATGCTACAATTTGACAGGTTAACAGTCTAAATTACTATTCACTTTTTTTTTTTTTTTGCATTTCACTTGAAGACAGAGTATCAGTGTGATTGAGACCACTAATTGCATAGCCTTATCAGATTTTAGAGCCAGATATGGGGGATACCTTGTAGTCCACCCCACTCATTCTGAAAGAGAGGCTGTGACTCAGAGGTTAACTGTCTTAAAGTATTGGGGTTTAAGTATTGGATGGGTTACTTCTGATTACTCACCCACCGTTCTCTCTGCTCTCTGCCCACGTGCAGTTTCCCCAGTCACAGCTCGTAGCTGTTTTAGACTTCCTACACATAAGAGCTACTTGGGGCTCATTGAACTGTAGTGCGTATGTACTCAGCAAGCTTAGGAGTTTAGTAAGGGGACTGTTTCATCATATGTAGATCAAAATCACAGCTAATCGCCATTTAGCTTACAGTGGGATAAAAAAAGATCCTAGATCTTAATGATTAACCACAGATTATTATGCTGCTATGTGGAATTTACACAGGTAATACCTTGTAGAGAATCCTGCCTTGTTCTCTACAAGGGACCTGAGGCAGTGCACAGGCGAGCCTGGTGCTGGGAATTTCACAGGGACAACTCTGAGAGGAGACAACTAACATTGTACAAAAATGAACAGTGAGGGCCCTCCCTGGTGGCGCAGCGGGTTAAAACACAGCATTAAGAAGCTGAAGCCACTTCAGCATGAGTTCGATCCCCACCTGCCCCGGAGGTGACCACATGGCGCGGCAGATCTCTCCTGGCCCGCCTGCTGCTCCCCTTGGCAGTGTACTTCGTCAATCTGCCTGCTCCCCGCTCTGTCTCTGGTGAATCCTCTCACCCTCCGCATCTCTGGCCTGTACCCCAGTTCCATATGAATAAATAAACAAATCTTAAAAAAAAATGAACAGTGATCTGGAATGTGTATAAATATGTGAATTTTTTAAAAGGAGATTGTGTTCTATAATAACAGCAGTCCTGTATATTTTCTGTTAACCTCCCTTATTAGTTTGTTTTAGGATTTTTCTGGGAACCCAGTAAACAACACCTGTTTTTCCAGCTCATGTTCATGGTCAAGTGAAAAGCTGACAAAAGGGACCAGGCAGGTGGATATCAGGTCACCAGTTTGGTTACTGGCGCTGCAGTGGGCAGGTGTGACTGGGAATGCCAACACTGTCTAAGCCTAAAGAGAGAGCCTTCTCTTTCAAGGCAAAGAAATATTCCAACATGGCTATTATTTTAATGAGGTTCATTGTATAATTATTAAAAGGAAAGTAACAGAGGCTTATTAGTCCAGTAATTGTAGATATATTCATCTTAAAAAGAACATATAAAGAGAAAATATTAAACTATTTGAGGGGTCTTCCTAGAGGTAACAGGTGTTAAGTGTCAGCACTATGAAGCTATCTGGGGCCCCTGTAGCACGAGTGATCCCCGGCCAGGGAGTTGACCCACATGGCGCAGCAGACCTCTCCTGTCCTGTCCGCGGCTCCCCTCAGCAGTGTATTTCAGCAGATCTGCCTAGTCTGCTCCCCACTCTATCTCTGATGAATCCTCTTAACCCTTTTCCCCCACACTTTTAGCCTGTGCCTCAGCTCTTGTATACATAAATAAATAAATCTCTTTTTTTGAAAATATTTATTTATACATACAGATCTGGGGTACAGGCAGGCCAGAAGCGTAGCGACGGTGAGAGGATTCACCAGAGACAGAGTGGGGAGCAGAACAGGCACATGTACTGAACCACACTGCTGAGGGGAACAGTGGGCGGGTCAGGAGAGGGCTGCCATGCCATGTGGGTCAGCCCTGGCTGGGGATCGAACTCACACTGCAGTGGCTGCTGAGAGCTTCATAATGCAGAGATTTAACCTGTTGTGCCACCAGGGAGAGCCCCAAGTAAATCTTTTTTAAAAGTATTTGAGGTCAGTAAAGTATAAAGCAATATTTTTGTCTCCTTCCTTGATGAAATATGTATCTTCTGAAAATGAAGAAGTAGAATTTTTAGGCAGATAATATGATTTATCTGGTATATTTTAGAAGCTAAAGCAACTAGTTGGTTTTAGAGACTTCTGTCACATCTCTCTGTCTTTTGCTTAGTAGGAAAAAGCTGTCTCACTTCTGCTTTTTAGGCTCCAATTATTTCTTCACACTGAAATACATTGTATTACTATGTTTGCATAGTAATATCTCTGAACTAGAACTTTATTTCCTAACAGAAACAACACACTGAGTTGTAGTCTGCTATCACCGGTTTGTGCACGCCAGGACAGCTCAATGGAGGAGTATCTCACAGAGCCCACAGAGGGTTCCCCAGGCAGAGCGCTTCTCCAGAGGCAGAAGCCTCAGGATGACGAGAGTATGTCATCTCCAAGAAGGGGTCACTGGAGACATTCCAGTTTGAAAGAACAACTTAGACAAAATATGAACTTCCATGGGATCTATTCCTTTGTTGTTTTTTAAAAAAGAATTTCATTTGAAAGAGTCATGTTTTTCTTTTTTTCTGTGATACAATCTATATAATATAAAATCCACTATTTTAACCATTTGTATGTATGTAGGTCAGAGGCATTAGGTAGATTCATAATACTGTGTGGACATCAATCACCACATCCAACTCCAGAGCTTTGTTATCATCCCAGATTGAAATTCTGTACCATAGAACTCATAATTCCTGCCTCCCCTGACAACCTCTATTTTACCTTGTTTCTATGAATTTGGCTACTCTACATACCTTATTGAAGTGGAATGAAAGAAGTTAATTTTCCTTTTGTGCATTTGCTTATTTGCTTTAGCATAAATGTTTAAAAGTCTGTCCTTGTGCCACTTTTAGGAATTTCATTCTTTTTTAAAAAGATTTGTTTATTTATTTATGCTTATAAGAACTGGGGTACAGTCTAGAGGTGTGTGGCCGGGGAGGGGGGGTGAGAGGATTCACCAGAAACAGCGTGAGGAGTAGAACAGGCAGATTGATGAAGTACACTGCTGAGAGAAGCAGCGGGTGAAACAGAAGTCTGCTGTGCCGTGTGGGTCAGCTCCCTGGCAGGGATCATACTCCTGCTGCAGTGTCTGTGGAGAGCTTCACAGTGCTGCGCTATAACCCATTGTGCCATTAGGGAGGACCCTCATTCTGACTTTTAAGGCAGTGTGTGTTACTCTGCGTGCACCACAGCGTGGTGTTCGGTGCATCTGTGGATGTTTAGCTGTTTCCAAACTAGCGTGACTGACGCTTTACAAATATCTGTGGGTGTCCCTACTTTCAGTTCTCTTGGGTATATGCCTAGAAGTAGAATTACTGCCTCTGTGGTAATCTGAGTTTTTGAAAGACTCCATATGGTAGACTGTAGTGTTTTACCTTCCAACTAGCAATACCTTTTCTTTTACAGTTTTGAAACAGTTTACCAGGCTGTAAAGTAGTTCCATACGCTCCACAGGTAATATATTCATGTTGCTCTTACATTTACAACAGTGCTTGGTGTAAGTTTACATGAACCAGCATCAGGGGCTATTGGCCTTTTCTTGCAGTTTGTGTAGTGATGATGTATTCATGGCAAGGTCTTTGAGGCAAGATGCTGACTTCATAAAGCTCAGTGTACAGTAAAACAAGGTGAGTTCATAACCTGTATGCTTTCCATTCTTAACAACAGTTTTCTTTTTTTCTACAGCTCCCTGCACAGGAAACACTTTCTTTTGCCATAGCAACATGTGCATCAATAATTCTTTAGTCTGTAATGGTGTCCAAAACTGTGCATACCCTTGGGATGAAAATCATTGTAAAGGTAAGTCCACAGGCAAACACTGACATTTTTGAAAGATAGTAGCTCTTACCTTTTATTTGAAAAGACTTGAAACGTCCTTTTGACAACTGCATCTCTCTTCTAGCAAAAACAACAACAATAGAATGCATAGGATATAAATGTTCTTGTGTCTTTTTAATTGAACCTTTTTTTATTGACATAAAATTGGTTTACAACACTGTATATATTTAGGGGTATAAAATCAGACCTCTTCGATGTGTATTACACCCACCACTAAAGCACTAGTATTCCTCTCCCATAACCCCCTTCGCCCCTTACTCATTTTTCTCTCCGACCTTACCCACCCTTTCTGGGAACCTCAGTGTTTCAGTCAGATTTCCAGTGTTTATCCAACCCTTTGTTTTGTTTGCTTATATCCCACATGTGAGTGAAATCATCCTGTATTGTCTTTCTTCTTTCTTGTTTTTCTTAGCATGAACCCATGCAGTTCCACCATGTTGTCAGAAATAGCAAACTTTCATCATTTTTCACAGCTGTGCTGTATTCCATTATGTATGTATACCACATCTTTATCCACTTGCCTGTTAGGTGTTAGAGCGCTTAGGTTGTTTGCATAACGTAGCTATTGTAAATAATGCTGCAGTAAACACAAAAGTGCATGTATCCTTTCAAGTTAGTGTCTTTGCATTCATATAGTAGAAATTACATATATATATATATATATATATATATATATATATATATATATATTTTAACTCCATGCATTTCCCCACTGGGGCTATTCTAGTGTACATTCCTTTCCAATATTTGTTGTTCCTGGCTTTTTTTTTGATAAGGGCCATTCACATGGATGTCAGAAGTGCCTTCGTGTGGTTTTGATTTCCTGGTTGATAAATCATGGTGAATAGTTTATTCATTTGCCTATTGACCATCTTTGTGTCTTTTGTTGCATTTCATCAGTTCTTTGTATATCTCACAGCACATTTTTTATATTGATTTTGTAAACTGCCACTTCACTGTACTGATTTATTGTTTCTAATAATATTTAGTGTACTCTTTAGGGTGTTCTGTGTACTATTACATCTGCAAATAGTGATGGTTTTACTTCTCTTCCGGTTTGTATTCCTCTTGCACACTTCTCTTCATAATTGCTCTGGTTTGGACTCCCAATACCACGTTGAATAGTACTGGTTAAAGTGCACATCCTTGTCTTATGCCTGATCCTAGAGAAAAGACCTTCATATTTTCACCAGTGAGTTGATATCGGTATGGATTTGTCACATATGGCATTCATTGTGTTATCAGTCCTCTCTCTCCCCATTTTACTGAAAATGTTTATTGATGTTAGAAAATCTTTATTGATGAATCAGACATATCTGCATCTATTGATAAGATCATATGATTTTTATCTTTTATTGTTAATGAATGACATTGATTTATGACTGTTAAATCTTCCTTGCCTCCTTAAATTAAATCTCATTTGGTTATGATATTTGATCCTTTTAATGTATTGCCAAATGCAATTTGCTAAGACATTTTGAAGCAGTTTGCCTTTATGTTCATCAGGGATATTGGTCTATAATTTCCATTTTTTTGTGATGTCATTGCTTTTGATACAGGGTAACCTTGACCTCAAAACTGTACTTAGGCCCTCCCTGGTGGCGCAGCGGGTTAAAGCACAGCACTGAGAATCTAAAGCCACTTCCTCATGAGTTCGATTCCCGCCTGCCCCGGAGGCGACCACATGGCGTGGCAGACCTCTCCTGACCCGCCCGCTGCTCCCCTCAGCAGTGTACTTGGTCGATCTGCCTGTTCTGCTCCCCGCTCTGTCTCTGGTGAATTCTCTCACCCTCCGCATCTCTGGCCTGTACCCCAGTTCTGTACAAATAAATAAATAAATCTTTAAAAAAAAAAAAAACTGTACTTAGAATCCTTTACTCCTCTTCAATTTCTTTTGAAAGATCTTGAGAAAGATAGGTGGAACTCACTAGCAAAGTCATCTGATCTGGGCTTTTGTTTGGGGAGATTTTGATTACTATTTTAATATCCTGTTTGATCAGGTTTTCTGTTCTTCCTGATCCAGGGTTTTAATATTACATTTTTCTAAACATTTTTCAATTTCCATTTATTGGCATAGTAGTCTCTTATGATCATCTGTAACTGTGGTAACTTTCCTTGTTCTTTCTGATTCAATTAATTGTTTTCTCCTTTTTTTCTTTGTGAACCTAGTTTGGAAGCATTTCTCTTGTTTCATGGAAATAGCTTTGATCATGTGAACTGTGTTTTTAATATCTGCTTTGGGTTTTGCTTGTTCTTCTTGTTCCTTGTTCCTTAAGGAACAGTACTGTATTATGTATTCAAGATAATCTTGTTTCTTGATGTGGACTTATATTGCTTTATCTTACCTCTTAGTAGTCTTTTGATGTGTTCTATAGTTTCTAGATTTACATGTTGCCATTTTTGATTGAGGTATTTGTTCATTTCCTTTTTATTTCCTCATTAACCCAAGTAAGTAGCATGTTTTTAACCACCACATTTTTGAGGTTTTTTTTCACTCTTTCTTGGGTCATTTATGCATTTCCAGTTCAGTAGCATTGTGATTAGGAAAATCATCCTTGACATGATTTCAACCTTCATGTCTTTATTGACATTGTTTTCTGGCCCAGTGTGTAGTGTATCATCAAAATTGTCCCACGTTCACTTCTAGGGTATCTCAATGTGGTTTTGATTTGCATTTCCCTGACTATAAGTGATAATGAGCATTTTTTTCATGTCTGTTAGTCATCTGGGTGTCTTCTTTGGAAAAGTCCTTATTTAGCTCTTCTTCTGACTAGGTTCTGTTTTCTTTTTGTAAAGTTAATGAGTTCTTTGTCTGTCTTTTGTCTCAGTCTCTTGTCAGATAGATGGTGTGTAGATATTTCTCCCTTTCAGTAGGGTGCCTTTTTGTTTTAGTGATGTTTTTTGTTTGTTTTCAATAATTTCTTTTAGTCAGAGTGGAGAGCAGAACAAACAGATTTACTGAAATACAGTACTAAGGGGAACAGTGGGTGAGACAGCAGAGGTCTGCTGCACCATGTGTGGGATAACTCCCTGACCAGAGATTGAACTCAAGCTGTAGCAATGATAGCATTGAGACTTAACCCCTAGGCCTCCAGGGACGCCCTAGTGATGGTTTCTTTTTATATTATTTGTTTTCCTTGTTGCTGGGGGTGAATCAACAAAGGTATCTCTGAAGCTGATGTCATGGAGTATTTTATCTATGCGTTCTATATATTTCATGGTTTCAGGACTTCACCCGAGTCTTTTTTGCATTTTGAGTTGATTTTTGTGTGTGTGTATGTTGTGAGGTAGTGGTCTAAGTTCTATTCTTTTGCATGCAGCTGCTGTTTGGCTTTCACAGTAGCACTTGTTGAAGAGGATTTTCTTCCTTCAGTGTATTCTTAGCCTCTTTGTCATAACTTTACTGTCCATATAGCTGTGGGTTTATTTATGGGTTTTCAGTCTATTCTACTGGTCTGTGTGCTTCTGCTTCTAGTACCATCCTGTTTTGATTATTATAGCTTTGTAGCATACCTTGAAATCTGGAAATGTGATCCCACTATTCTTTTTTGTCAGGGTTTCTTTGGTTACTAAGAGTTTTTTGTGGTTCCATATGAACCTTAGTAATGCTGTTCAATTTCTTTGAAGAATGCCTTTGAAACTTTGATAAAAAGTGCACTAAATCTGTGTGTTGTGAATAGGTTGCCATTTTAACAATATTAATCTTTCTAGTCCATGAACAGGAGATTTCACCCATTTCTTCATGACTTCTATTTCTTTTAACATTGTCTCACAGTTTTAATAGTATAGGTCCTTTCCCTCCTTTGTTTAGTCCTAGATATTTCATTTTCAGGAGTAATTTTAAATGAGACTGTTTTCTTAATTTTTTCCTTCTGTAGCTCATTGTTTGCATATTGGAAGACAACTGACTTTTGTGTGTTGATTTTATAAACTGCCACTTTGCTGAATTTATCTGGTTTTTCAGTAGTCTTCAGGGTCCTTAATGTATGTTATGTCATCTATTAATAATGAGAGCTTCATTTCTTCTTTGCCTATTTGGATTCCTTTTGTATACTTATCTTACCTAATTGCTCTAACTAGGATTTCCAATACCATTTTGAATATTAGTGGGGAAAATGGATATCCTTGTCTTTTACAAAATCTTAGGAGAAAAGTTTTCAGTGTCTCACTTTTGAAAATGATGTGATATGTGTGTTCATCATCTATAGCCTTTTTTATATCAAGGTATGTTCCACTTATTCCCAGTGTTCATGGGTTTTCATAAGTGTATGTTTAATGCTATCAAATGCTTCCTTGACATCTATTGATACAACCATATGTTTGTTTGTTTGTTTTTTGTCTTTTATTTGTGTGATTAACTATGTTGATTGAGTTTTGGCTGTGCGCCATCCTTGTGTCCCTGGAAAAATCCCATGTGGTCATGGTGGGATGGTCTTTTTAATGCATTGTTGGACTCAGTTTGCAAAGACTGTGGAGAGGATTTCTGCATATGTGTTCATTAGAGAAATTGGTCTTTAGTTTCATTGTCCTGTGTTGTCTTTGTGTTCCATACTCAAAATATGTATTTGGAAGTATTCCTTCTTTCACAAATATTGAAAGGCATTTGAGCAAAATGGTTATTAGCTCATGTCGAAAGTTTGGTAGAACTCACTTGTGAAGCCATCTAGTCATGGCTTTTCATTTTGGGTAGAGTTTTGATTACTGCTTCAACTACCCTACTTGTGGTTGGTCTATTCAGTTCTGTTTCTTCCCTACTCAGTCTCAAATGGTTTATAATTCTAAACATTTTCCCATATCTTCTAGGTTATTGAACTTCACTAGCATACAAATGTGCAAATCCTCTCAATTTCTGTGATGTCTGTGGTAACTTCTCTTTCTTTTTGATTCTACTTATATGAATTTCTTCCTTCTTTTCTTTGTGACCCTTTCTACAGTAGTTTTTCTGGTTTTGTTCATTATTTCAAAGAATCTGATTTTGGTTTCATTAATCTTTTTAACTGCCTCTTTTATTTCTTTTTCATTTATTTCTGCTCTGATTTTTATTATTTCCTTCCTTCTAATAGCTTTTGGTGTTGTTTCTTCTTTGTTCCTTGACATGAGAAATAAGGTTATTTATAGGAACTCTTTCCACTTTCTTGATGTGAGCCTGTGCTGTTATATATTTTCCTCTTAATACTATTCTTGGTATGTCCCACAAGTTCTAGAAGGTTGTGTTCTCATTGTCATTACTCTCAAGGTATTTTTGATTTCTTCTTGGATTTCCTCATTAACCAAGTAGCCATTCAGTAATTTTTTATTTGATCTCCACTTATGAGAGGTTTCCCTGATCTTTCAAGGTTGATTTCTAGTTTGATATCTTTATGGTTAAAGAAGACCATTATCAGTCTAAATTAATTGTTTGATACTTGTCTTGTGACCCAATATGTCATCTGCCCTAGAGAATAGCCCATATGTACTTGAGAAAAATGTGGATGCAGATTTTTGTGGATGCAGTGCCCTAAAAATGTTTAATTAAACACCCTGTGGTATAATTCTTTGTTTAACGCTGTTGTTTCCTTATTCATTTTCTGTCTATTTGATCTGTTCTTTGGTGAAAGCAGGATGCTAGAGCCCCCAGTCATGGCATGTGTTTTTAGTAGGGCTCAGTAGTAAATTTTGAAATCCTTAACATTTTTCTTTCTTTTTCTGCAGAAAAGAAAAAAGCAGGACTATTTGAACAAATCACTAAAACTCATGGAACAATTATTGGCATTACATCAGGGATTGTCTTGGTCCTTCTCATTATTTCTATTTTAGTACAAGTGAAACAGCCTCGAAAAAAGGTCATGGCTTGCAAAACTGCTTTTAATAAAACTGGATTTCAAGAAGTGTTTGATCCTCCTCACTATGAACTGTTTTCACTAAGGGACAAAGAGATTTCTGCAGACCTGGCCGACTTGTCAGAAGAACTGGACAACTACCAGAAGATGCGGCGCCCTTCCACTGCCTCCCGCTGCATTCACGACCATCACTGTGGGTCGCAAGCGCCCAGTGTCAAACAAAGCAGGACCAACCTCAGTTCCATGGAACTTCCTTTCCGAAATGATTTTGCACAACCACAGCCAATGAAAACATTTAATAGCACCTTTAAAAAAAGTAGCTATACTTTCAAACAGGCACACGAGTGCCCTGAACAGGCTCTAGAAGACAGAGTAATGGAGGAGATTCCCTGTGAAATTTATGTCAGGGGGCGAGAAGATTCTGCACAAGCTTCCATATCCATCGATTTTTAATCTTCTAAGGTGATATTGACATTAATTATTAAGTATGTGTTATGCAGCCTACAGAGCATCCGTAATGTTTTCAGCAGCCAACCCTGCTCTTCTGTCAAAACTAGGAAAACTTTCATTTGCCACTAACCTATTGTAATGGTGAGGTTTTTATTATCAGGCAGCCTATATATGTTAAAACAACCAAGAAACTTAATCCATTCAATGAAGAAAATAATCATCTATGCTTGGTGTTATATAAACAAGCACCAGTTAAACAGTATTGGAAGAGGGGATTGGTTTTGTTGAGCCAGCCTCACGTTGCCTGTTAGTTTTAGCAACAGAAATGCTGCTCTTGATTGATACAGCTTACTCAATATTTTGATCCAAGAATAAGCTTAAAAATAAACTTTTCTTATGTAACTTTTTCTTTTCTCTAGTTTATTTGATAAGTCAGTACTTTTACCATTCAATTTCTTACATAAGTATCACTGGTTAATTTACCACTCAGTTTTCAATATGCACATTTGTTCTAGAATTTGTCACTATTACTAGTTAGTGTGGTGAGTGCTAATTAAGACCCAGAGTTACATTTCATCCGTTTCTTCTTGACTAATTTCTATACAGCTGCCTTTTAGTGACTTTATCCTTAGTTTACTTTATATGAGAGGCAAGTGATATGACTTTTCACCTTTAAGACATATTTTTGTCTTAGTTGTATTTTACTAGATAATTTTGTATTCCTGGGAAGTACACACCATTGTCAGTTATGACTATTAACCTAAAAAAGTTTAAAACGTCTCGAGAGCCTTTGAAATTTTCCCAAATTGGGTCATATTCAGTGATGCAACTCATGCATTCCTGTAAGCAACAAGTAATGTCATTCATTGGGGGAAGACCAATATTTAGGTTTATTTCTAGTGTTTCTCATCACTAGATTTCTGTTTCCTATTATTTTATAAAAAGATTATTTAACTCCCAATGTACTGATTTATCTTATGGCATATGGTAACCAGTGCTATATGACAAGTGAAAATTCCTAAAACCTTGTAAAGCCTTTAGCTTGCTTCTTACTTGGGACAATACATTTTTCTAGTTCTTACCTAGAATAACAACTTCCACTTTTTTTTAAACTGCACTTTTGACCTTATGTTTTTTATGGTATGTGAAACAATAATTTATAAACATGATATAAAAATTCATTGTTTTTTTAGACTTTTGATATTATTTGATACTGTACAAACTTTATTAAATCAAGATTAAAGACCTACATGACAGATTTCTCTTGGTGTTCACATTAGCAGCTTTGTATACAAATATGCTTGATGGAACTATACATGATAATTTATTGTAAAGACCTTTTGTGTGTACATAAGCTTTTTGTTTCCATTTGTTATTGCATCTAGTTTATGATACATTTTCACTGTGTGATATTTATTCTAAGTCACTACACAAATCTTATTAAAATCTACATTCTTACATCAGCCTTCAATCATGTTATTTATGACACTGAAATTCTAAGTCTTAAGATACGTATAGAAAGGAATCCATTTAAAAAATTTGGACTAATGTAGACATGCCATTTTAAAGGAAACATATTCTTGTTTTCTGTATTTTTGTAAATTCTCAATGAAATGAGAAATTGAAGTTTTACTGGATTTCTTTAGTTCTTAATGTGATTTCTCAGATTAGTGAAAGCTGTGATTTAAATCTCATACAAAGATATATTCTCCCTCAAATTTTGCATTGCTTCTATCACATATTTCATTTTTTAAAAAAGCATATAATATCCAGGTGAAAGGAAAGCCCACACATGGCATATTCATTTTTAAGTTTAATTCAGCATAGTTTCCTGCTTTAAAAATATAACTTGGGAAGGTAAAAAGACTTAATGAATGTAGTTTTCAATGAATTAATGAACCAGAGCCAGATTAGATAGCTAAATTCTTTCATTAGCTATATTGAATAGGTATTTTAGTAGGTAACTTATACCAGGCAATATTTGAGTGGTATAGTAAGTATTTAATATAACTGTGATCTCATTTTTCTTGACGATGAAAGGAAATTAGCATATTTTCTATGTGAAATTATATCCAATGTAAAAACAGCTGTTATAAATACATCTTTAACATCTAGGTTATTGTAGACAATAAAACAGTAAACATAACTACATTATAGCTATAGTCACTTGTAACTATATATTTATTTTGAGATTTGTAGCCTATCTTATTTTAAAAGGGCATGAAGAGGTCTACCAAATATAGAACCTTTCAAAGAGACATTTTACATTAAAATAGAAAATTGGTTTTAATAGTTGCAGGCAATTCAACAAATAATAAATTTCATTTTAACTTTTCTAGCTTTTAAAACAAATGAAATACTTCATGTTTTTCACAGTAGAAAATCCAAACTTATCTGCAGAGGCTAGTTTTCAAGAAAGAAAGGGTCTTCATATATATTGACATTTTCTGATAATTTTTAAAAGATGTAAAAGCAAACCAGTCAAAATGGTGAAGGCTCATCTTAATGTAGTCTAGGAGCATTGGTTTCTGATCAATCTGCTGCAAGGATAGAACTAAAGAACCAGATGATCAATAGCTAAGCCAGCCTTAAACTAATATACTATCAACCTTTATTGAGCTATACATTCTTATTAGATCTCACTTCTTAGTCAAACCTTTGGCAATATCCAATGGGAAGAAAAAAGGAACTAATGAATTTTATACATTAGTACCATAATAATGCTAATTTGGTGTATAGTCTTCATCTTTGAGGTCAATAAGGAAAATTCACAAATTGTTTATTAAAGTGAAAGCCATAAATTTTAGTAATAGAGGATGGAATTTAGCTAACTTGTGGAAGTTTTTAAACTTCACTGAGAAAGTAGTCCCTATGTTAAATATGAAACCAAAACTGCAATTCTAGAGGAAGACTGTCTTCAGTAACATCAAGCTGACCTCTACAGTACTGTCATTAGCTTCCATCTGTGACCTCTGATTGTGAAGTTAACAAAAGATAGCAACCCCCAAGCACACACAATTTGCAAAACACCCAATCCTGACTTTAAAGTTATGTAGGGATAAAGTATGGAGTACCTTTTGTGTAAGGAAATAGTCAAGCTAATGTTAACAAAAAGCAAGAATTTTCCACATTTCACATCACAAGAGATTTAAAAGTCTCCTTTAAATTTGAATTGTTAACAGCTCTTGTGAAAGTGTCTTTGTTATGTTTCATACAATTATTAGGAATTAACTTAAATGTCTGCTTTCAAACATTTTTATAGGTCTGCTATTGTCTGATGAGAAGGATACTTCCTTGTTTAAAAAGTGTGTCAACTGGTAAGAGGGTGGCAGAGGTCTAGTGATTCAGCAATGATTGACAATCTAAGGAGATTGCTCCCATAAAATGTTGACTATATTGTTTGTTACTTGATTTCAAGTACTAAAAATAATATCCACTGGATCAGACTGACCAACTGATTGGAAGGAGCCTTGAGTTTTTGAATTTTTTAAGATCCAAGAAAAATTCTCGGATCCATCTTTATAAATGAGAACACTAAAGCCACAGAAAAGAAATGAGAACCCATATCCTAAAAGTAGACACCTTTTGCTGTCTCTTTGCTTTAGTTGACTCTGAATTTTAAAAGTTATGTTCCGTGTAAGTTTGTCAAATGTTCTGATTTAAGATATAACTTATTCCATTTTTTTCAAAGCATTATATATTTTACTTTTTCTTTATGTAACACTTTGTTCTATAATTTTGTTGCCATGATTTCTTGGCACCTGCAGACTCTGCAAGACAGTTACTGTGAATTCTTACTACACAATGTTTGTTAACAATTTGTAGGCTTGATACTAGACAGAAAGCTTCAGTGTTTTGCATTTGTGATCTTTTTTAAATCTAACAGAAATGCTGTATACTCTAGAAATTAAACATTTGTGTGCTCTATCTCTTGAGTTTGGAGAATGATTTGAGTTCTGAGCTATTATAAATGGCAGAAGACCCCAGATGTCTTAGACTCCCTGCAAAATCATTTGTATTTTATATACGTACAAATAACATCTTCCAAAATCTGGCTTTGCTTTTCTTTCATAACTTTTTCTTATATGCATGTGATTTATTTTAATAACTACAACAGCCTCAAGAAACTAATGATTGAGGTGCATGTCCAGCGTGTTTTGTCTTAAGTAAATTATTTTAAAAGCAGTGGAGTTTTTTGCTTTGAGATGACCCCCCAGGCCTATAAGAATTCTTAGATGTTTAAGCTATATACCAGAGATATTTTGTGGGGGTGGAGTGGGGAATGGGATCAAAAACAGCGGGGGGAGGGAAATGTACTGGACTATGGTGATGGCACATGGGTGATCTGGTGATGGGAAGCCCAAGAGGATCGCAACTGAGATGGAAAAATGCACAAAAATATGTAAAAATAAACTAATATATATATATATAAAGATGATAACTATGACTAGTATGCCAAAAAAAAAAGTACACTGGCATATGAGGTCTAGGCTAATTGTCATATAAAATATCTCATCTTCTTTATCTGATTATTTTTTGTGTTGTGTTGTGTAAATCTAAAAAATTACAAATTCTGTATATTTTCTTTAAGCTGGAAATTAAAGGTTTGATTACATTTGGTTAAAAAAGAATTCTTAGATGTTTAAACCTGGATTTTATGGTGCATAGTAGAGAACTTGACCCTGAAACTGAAACTAAACACCTTCGTTTAGATCTCCTTCCTTCAACTTCTAAAGGCAACAAACCCTTTCTTACATCCAGGGCAAAGTCACAATTTCTATCCAGTAAATAACTTCCAAACCAAAGAAATAGCTATAATGAAAATAAAGAAGGATGCTTAAAACCATTTTGTTTTCAAATTTTCAAGTGAAGGAGAATTTTTCAAAAAAGAATTTCGTTTTGGTGAGATAACCAAAGCAAAAGAAATTGCCGCTTAGTGGGGTGAGTGGCCCCAAGTCCTGTTTAAACAGGTGGGCTGAGGCATGTATGTGGAGCCCGTCCACGCAGTGCTCACCACACTGACCATGAGGGCTGTGGAAGACAAAAGCCCTGGGTCCGCACCTTGCCCACCCGAAGACGCCTGCCGCCGGCTGCCTCCTCGGCCTCGTGAGCAGGCCCTCAAAACTGGGCCTCCTACCTCCCTGTCAGGAGGCAGGCTCAGTTCTGTCCTGCTCTGGCACCTTCATGTGTGGGTCTCTAGTGAAGCCTTGCAGATCTCCACTACAGCCAATGCTCTCTGGTGAGATCTTTCCCTGCAGGGCAAAGGACCTCCTCTTTTGGGTGGAGCCTGCAACTTGAGGTTGCTTCCCGACCCAGACCCAGACACCTGCTCGCACCTCGGACATGGCGGTGGCGGGGATCAGAAGCCCCTCTCTTTGGAA